TCTCACACAGCTGATAAGGCCGGAGCTGGCTGCGGTGCAGACTGTAGATTAAGCTCTTATAGAAAGGGGAGGAGAAATCTGGCTCATGAGGACGAGGAGGGAGAGAAGGATGTTAGTGATCAACCCTCCAGCGCAGGACCGACATTATTATCTCTGCAGCCCCAATACTGAAGCCTCAACCCCCTCTCTCTCTGTACTCCCACTATCCCTGGAATAGCCTCGTCTATACTCTCCTTTAGGGGCCGTTCACAGATGACCCAACAATTTGGACACAGGCCTGATGCTCTGTATTCTAAACCCTCAGCTTGGCTCACATCAATAATACATTTGAAGGTCCCATATCAATTAGTTTTCATATTTTTTCAAATTAATATATTTTAGATTACAAAATGAATTCAGATTGTTTTCCTCAACTGAAAAAAATACTTGCTGTTAAACTTTACACTTTTAATCAAGTTGTGATGCTAACTGGTGTTAGACTGACTCAATCTTGAAGAAAAAAGGATTTTTAATCATACATGTCAATTTCACCATAAAACAAATATAGTTGCTTGATTTTACAGTTCCATTATTTCTCACAAATTTCCAGTTTCCCTGTAAAAAAGAAAAGTGATGTTTGCATGCCTGTGTGCTGTGTGTTACAGGAGCAGTTAATTGAAATTATTTAATTGTTGTTCAAGGTGATTATTTTCCTCAACAGTAATACAATGTGATAAACATCAACTTCCACACACTTTCATGTATAAAGTCAGTGAATAGCTGACTTGGAAAATGCAGAATGTTTCTGTATCAAAGTGATGCTGTTCATTATATTTATCCCAAGTGTCAACAGTGTGTGGGAGCTGATGTCTGTTACTTTCATGTTAGCATACCAGATATTCTGTTAGTAGACAGCAGGCCAGCTGCACATGAAAAGAGAAGAAATGTGTCCACAGAAAGCACAGTTCGACATGAATTATATAGTATATGTGATGTTTTATATTATATTCCATTTTCCCTGTAGTTTGATTTGATTTTGATTTGATTTTTCCAGGACTCTTCCTTGGAAATTATTATGAAATTACAGAGCTGTAAAATTAAGCATTACTATAATTAAATTTGGTTCAAGAACTAAACTCTCAGTTCCTATAACTAAATAAAATGTGCATCAAACCAGTTTCATCCTCTTCCTCGCACAAAAGCAGCTTTGAAAAAACAACAAAGTGCATGTTGGTGGGATAAATGCAGCAGCCAGAGCTCTGGGGACTTCAAGTGTCACATGTATATATGTGGCATCGCACATGCATTCTCCAGTCAGAGTAAAGGCACCCAGGAGAGCTTGGTGGAGCGGCTGCAGATGAACAGAGTTCGTTTCTATGGATACCCACCCGTGTTCTGATTGCAGTGGTATAATGGCCATGTGTGCCTTGTGTGTGGTGTGTACCCACGTGACAGTTCACCTTTCATCACAGCATGCAGCCACTGTATCAACGGGGGCCTGATCTGGCCGGTGCTGAATGGATGTAGAGACTCGGCGGTCCAGAGAGAGGAAGAATGTGCAACCCACCACGGCTGCTGACACCGAGGCTTCAGCTGCCAGGAACTCTGTGCCAGGCTCCAATTAGGCAGCCATGCATGCTACGCTGAAACAATGGTACTGTTGGTGGGTACAGTAAGTACCAGGCCTTCCCATACACCGTAAACACGTAGTGTAGATTATCGAGTTGGTCGCCAACAGTTTACCTCATGTTTTCATTGTGGAAGGATGCTGCATTTTTAACTGGGGCCCCCTGATTGTAGCTTTTCAGTAACAACATTTTTCAGCCGGTTCACACCTCTGCAGACACACAGTAGAAACTCTGCAGCCAGAGATACACACAGTGATAACCTCAGGGGCTTCGACGTGCGGCAAGTGCATTCCAGCTCTCCCAGCTCCCTCTCGCCACATCCTATGCAAGGCCAATGTGGTGCTGATAAGTGGGAAACCGGGGAGTAAGAGGGAGGTTGGGTCCCCGAGGGGCCCGCCAGCACACTTGTCCCTCAACCATGGAAACCAGCGTAATGACTTCTCACAATGTTGTGGGGACAATTCATGGAACTGCGAAGGGAAGTGCTTTGGAGATTACTTTCTCCACATGGCTCACAGGTCTTTGTGGAGCCGGTGGAGGTAAGTGGAAGGAGTGGCATGTTGATCGGAGAGCTTGATAAAAACTTGTAAAAGTGCTCCAACTGATAAGGCATCCACATCAAACACCATGTTCTCCAGAAGCAAAAACCTTTTTCCTCGAACAGTAACAGCAACTGTGCAAGAGGCTGCTCAAGATTTTAACATTTTAGGTGGCATTCAACCTCACACGCCAAGATCCTTCTCATTTCTTGTTTTTCCTACACACACACCATTTCTCCTTAAATCCCTCCCATATTTTTCAAACCCTCAGGCCACCTTTTTACATTCTTTCTGGCTCTGAAGGCGCATTAGGAGCCAAGAAAAAGGCAGCAGCATAAACTCTGGCCATCGCCCCGCTGAACCTCAGGACTTCCTGCTAGAGGGCCAATCCGTCTTGGACTTTTCACCAGTTTTCCTAATAAATCAGAACCCACGGTGTGCCGCCTGCAAACAGCCCGGAGGAAGGTCACTGCTGGGCTGGCTTGCCAAACATAACCTTGGTCCCTTCGCAGTCTTAAGTGCTCTATCACTGGGACACGTTCGCATAAAACCTTGACTTTGCAGTTGTTGGGATGAGCTAGAAAAAAAATATGATTAACCTTGGCGCTGACCTGTGGCAACCTTCTGAGAAGCGGCAGTGGCACAGTTTCTATCTATCCTCCTAATTGCCTCATAAACTGTCTGTAGATTAAAAAAAACGACGCAGCACATTCTAAACCACCAAATACAAATCAGAGGATCCACAGTGCTGACATTTAGCTCCTTCAAATGAACCCTACAACACCCAGCAGTCCCATTTCATCAAATTCCCCTGAGGTGTTGATTTCCCCACCCACTGCCTCTCTAACCACCACGTTTCATAACCGCTTTGTCGCTCCACCGGAGCAGATCCATCAGTCAGAAACTCACTCATGGAAATAAACAAAATCCGCAAACCTCAAAGAACTCTGCCACTCAGAGAGGAGAGGGAAAAGATGGCTGAGATAGAGAGAGAGGTACCGTCCCATGGGCACGTCGAATTTGAAAGAGAAATGCAAGCAAGAAGAGCAGAGGCAGGGACAGTGAGTGAAGTTCAAAGCCGGGGGTGTGTGGGGGGGTGAGGCAGTGATGGGTTCTCTTCTGTTTCACTCCTTTCCTCCCACCCGTGCCGTGCCCCCGTGGCAAAGGGTGGACTGGTGGTAGGAGGGGAAGGGGAGGTAGTTAAAAGTCTATCCTCTCATCCTCCCCCTGACCTCCCACAGCAATAAGCAGAAAAACAGCTGTGGGCTGCACACTCCCTTCTCCTCAAACACTGTCCCATGGGCCTGAGACACACATATACAAACACTCAGGCACACTCATAAGATGTTCACACGTGCACCTTTAGGTCTTTTCTCCTCCCTCAGTCTCACATACACATACTCAGATTATGTAACTTTCAAAATAAAATTGGGATGCGAACGACTTTTTGTGGACCACATTTCAGGGGATGTGATTAGTAGACACAAGCATCGTGTAGCACTGGAAACTGAATTAAAGGTCTACGCTCTGTCTAGGAGAAATTAAAGTGGTATGTCTCCTTTCACATATTCAACATGACACATCAACCGCTGTGTTTTCAGAGAGGTCAATCCATTCTACAGACTTCACCACAGAGCTGGCTGACTTTGGTTCCAATGAGCTAGGCGACCAAGTTGAGGTGGTGTCTACTTCGATATAAATGTGACACACGCGAGCACCATTATGTCACATTTTAGATCATTAGCTGCTAAAAAAATTTATCCAGATGTTACACTTCACAAAATGCTTCTTCTGCATTATAATCATTTGTTTTAAAAGTCATTGTTTTAAAACCACCGACCCCGAAAGTGATAACAGGCAGTAAAAGTCACACAAGTTAAAATAAAACTGAATACATCATATTAACAGTACTGCCAGTTACACCAGTGGCTCTCAAAGGTGGGTCCCCCAGGAACCCCAGCTCAACACTTTCTGTAATCAGTTTAGGGATCCTTGATGTGAAAAAGCTTGAGAACCAGTGAGTTAAATAGTATACAATATAACATGTTAAATAGATGATTGGTTGTTAGTAAACTGTTAAAATTCTGTGTTAAAAATCAGTATAAGACTGGAGTCTTTTCCTTAAACATCCATTTGGTTTGTTAAAAAAAAAGAAGCTTTTTAATGTTTCCTTTACCACCAATTACTTAATAAAATAAAACATTATTTTATTCCTCTATTTATCTTTCACTAGCTCATTTTAGTTTCCCTTCATAGTTTTCCTTTTTTTTTTTTTGGTCTTAGCTCAACGAGAATCAATTTTATGAGATGACTGCGTGGTCAGCAGGATTACATGGAAACACTGGCGTCTAAATATGTTTGAGCCTTTTCAGCTGTCTGGCTCAAGGATGACAGTTATCTGCACCAGACAGTGTTGATGTTTATCATCCATATACCACGTACTACTCTAGTGTTACTGTATGAAGTAACAAAGGCATTTTAGCTGGCAAGCTAACAATGACAAAAATGTCCTAGTGTTTGATAATTATACATTTTGAAAATGATAAACCAGAGGAACCCAGAATAGTTAGTGTTTGTCTTGGTTGATGGCCGACTGGAAATGACTCAGTTACCCTCAAAATTATTCTCTTCAATTAAAAATTCCAGGAACTATTGCAGCAGGTAACATAAGATGACGCTATGAGGAAGGATGTCTAGTGAATGTGAACAGTTAATAAGTGTAAAGGCTTGCCAGCTAAAATGCTTTACCTACCGTCACAAGAGTTGATATAGCGACGCTACGGCAGTATGGACGATTGGCTTTACTTGCTCTCGTGTAGATTTATGATGAATGTTAAACTCAGTTAAGGAGCTATAGCAGTGAAAATGCTGGTGTTCAGTGTTTTTAGACAAGCTAACTAGTAACAAAGTCTTTTAACTGCTAAAAAGAAAGAGCTAGTCAACAGTCGCTTTTCTCTTTTTTAACCAATTAATTGAAGATTTAGGAAAAGTATGAGGTTTATATTTCTTTCTACACTCCTATCTATTTAATTATTTAACTGATTTTACTGATGGATTCAGTTATATTTTTGATGCCTTTGTCAGAGCCTGATAATAACCAACCCAAGTGTTTTCAGTTTAAAATAAAAGCTTGATTATTTTGTTCAATATTGTAATATTAACAAAACACAAAACAAATATCCATGGTGATTTTGTTTGACGGTGTTAACAGATTGATATGTTACACAGATTTTGATTAAATGAACATGTGAATCTACAGTCTCCTGTGTGACTATCTGGTAGGACTTTTCGTTTCCACAGTATTGCCTTTAATTACGACAGAGCAGGTAAGTATACAGTAAAATATACAGTAGCCACTCCCTTATTTCAGGTCTCAAACATGTGCACACACTGCTTCAGTTACACCCTCCAGTGTTCAAGTTGGGAACTACAGTCCAGCAGAACCATTGCAGAGGATGTTCCTGCTCTTTTCTCACCTCCAACATGAGACAGACAGGAGCACCAGTCTGTAAGATGACGAAATGATGACAAAGATTGTTTTTGATTGTTCCTTAAAATGTTTTAACTCGTCTTTTGCTCATTTTTATTCTTCAAGGATTCTAACAAGCTCTTAATCCTCTCACTTGCTGGCTCGCGTCTCCTTTTCTTGCGACTTTTGATCCCTGCAACCTGTAAGGGCAGGAGGAGGGAAGCCAGTCCCCAAGGTGTGGGAGTGGGTGTGTTGGTTTCACTCTTCTGGAGTAGCCACGTGCTCTCCTGACACAAAGCCACGAAGCGGTCTAGTTGGGTGGCGTTGACATTCTTGCTGACGTTCAGAGAGTTTTCGAACGGGTTCTGGATGTGCAGCGGGGCCACCTCTGGCTTGTTCTGCTCTTTGCCCTGGAGAGAGAGGAGGGAACAATGCCGGTAGCTGAAAACACATTTGTGAGCAGCAGCAGCTATAAGCGCAGGCCTGTATGTACTGTACGTTATGGTCCATCTATCTTATTGGTCATGGTTTTAGCTCTTCCCTGCTGTATCTGGGGCATCCTCTCCACAGGCTAACAGATGGCAGAGGGAGGGAGAGACATGGACATGGCCCTGGAAAACATTTTGACTGGAGTCATGAAAAAGGAGAAGAATTTAAAAGGGTCAAATAAAAAAAATGGCAAGAATGAGCTAGGCTGAAACCTGCTATTCACACCTAACATGTTAGCCGCTGAAGCAGATATGGTCTCCACTTGTGTTTAGCATTTGTAGCTGTCAAATGAACCATCAGTATGTGGGTCAGAGAAAAGTCAAGAACCTTCCATGGTGCTTTGCATGCCGTATCCTGCCCAAAGCCTGACAGTAATGGAGCTGAAGGGATAAAGCGATGGAGCTGTGGGGGTACGGGAGGGACAGAGGATGGCAACATAAAGCCATCAGTCAGAGGAGTGGAGCGAACTGGAGAATTGTGGCACAGTAAAGCAGATTTATGGCTGTTGCTCCACCGGTGAAAGCCTATAGGCATGGGTCACGGCCACAGTCTACCTGCAGGCTTCCTCCGCAGTGTCAAACCTGATGTTAGTCTCATATATTAGGCTGCAGGATCCTCTCTTTCCTAGCGACATCAATTCATTAAAATCCAAGCACAAGCAAAGTCCCTGCGACTCAAACACTGTGCCACCAAAAGCATGAAAACCTACTAAATCACCTAAATTACCACAGGTGATGAGTAGAATATTATTCAATGTTACAAATTTTAAGAGGTAAGTTAATTAACTATCCTGTACGACTTGACAAGAAAAATTAGCCCTGAACACTCCCTCTGTTATGAACTTTGAGATACAGCAAGATGTGGAAACAGACTTGGCTCGATCTTTTCCTGGCTTGATTTTATTTATAACTAGAATTACAACCTCACGCTTGTATGCCCCCGCCAGCCAGTCAAGTTGCAGGAAATATGGTCACAATCTCCCCTTCTTGAGTTACAGCGTTGAATAACGGCCAGAAGTGGGTTTGCAGGACATTATGGCTCTGTTCAGACCTTGTATTCACATCCACCTTGGGTGATTTTATCCAAAGTGTTCAGCTCTAACTACAGGTGTGAACGCATCCATGAGGCACTGAAGACGCATTTGAGATCCGATCACTCAGACCACATTTGGAGGTGGTCTGGGTCACATGTGGCAGCATTCTGTTCGCAGTGTGAACGCAAATGCATCCTGCGCCACATTGAAGGTCACTGAAGACGCATGTTAATGCCCGGTCTGAACAGAACCATTGATGTCAAAATGAAGTTGATCTTTGACCGTTTATAAACCACTTCATGATTTTATCCTCTTAGACATTTCTGTTAAATTGTGTCATAATTAGTGTATGAATTCTTGATCTATGGCTGAAAACATATTTTGAGAGGTTACTGTGACCTTGACCTTTGACCTGTGGCCACCAAAATCGAATCAGTTCATCCTGGAGTCTAACTTTACACTTGTGCCAAATTTGAAGACATTTCCTCAAGGCATTCTTGAGATATCGCGTTCACGAGAAAGGGACGGACGAACAATCTGAAAACACAATGCCTCTGGCCGTGGCTGTCACCAGTGTGGAGACATAAAAACTCAAAGATCAATCCTGGGTGCTCTCACACACAGGCACAAACAGGCAATAACAAGATAGATTTGGATTTAAATAGAACAAATATGCATTTGTTTACAGTTAGCATGATGAAGCTCCTAATTGGGATCTTGGCTCATGGACGCCGGGACCCCTGCGGCTGGCATCTATCACATATGACAGGGACAGCTATCATCTGTGTGTGTGGGAAGACACCATCCACCAAACACAGCCTTTATTACCAACAGATTTCTCTGCTGGAGCTCAGCTCTGACGCTGGGGAGGAAAAGTTGAAAGAAAACTGAACTGTCTTTCCGTTAGCGCTGAAGCTCGTTCTGAATGCCTTTTCATCTGTGTTCTGGTTTCTCAGTGATGCAGCGGTTTGATTTTTGACTGAAGTTTTCAGCCGTACGAGCAGCAGGATAGCCGGAGTGTTGGACAGACCGTTTTGTGAGTACAGACCGGTGTAAAAACTTTATCACCCTTCATACAAATTGTTACTTATGGCCCCACATATATGGCAACACTAACACATATCTGCAATAAGCTGACTGGTTACGTTGGTTACGTTGATATGGAAATAATATGGCAGCAAACAATGATGACAGAGAGCCTGGGGATTAGACTCCAACACACTAATTGTAAGAATTCTGTTTCAGCTCAGTTCAACAGATAACAAGTTTTTGTTAAAAGGAGTTACGTGTGGTCAAGGTTGCTAGGCGACAGGAGCGGCGCACTGCAACGCAACAGTAAGGGCGGGTGCAGCTGGGGGCGTCCTCTAAAGGATGTGGCCACTGAACTGGGACATAGTTTCAGTCACAACGGCAACCGGTCCCATTATATTGTACATAAAACAAGAGCTTTTAAGACATGAAATACGTAATATTGCTGGTTTCATCTGTCTGTTAAAGTGATGGCTTTTTGTCTCTCAGACATAAGTGTCTTTTACGTTAATGTCCCTTACAGCGTTATTCAGATGTGACAGGACATTTAGGGAAAGCTGGCATGTGAAAGGAAGAAGGGTATTTTCTGTCATCTCAAAGAGTGCATCAGTGATGGATTTTAAAACTCTCACATAAATTACCATTTATCAGATAATTCTAGTACCTGTTCAGCAAGAGTTCGTTTGGTTTGTGGCCAAATGACGACCATGAACTGGAACGGTTTGGTCTCGCAATAGAAGAGTTACTTTTTCAACAAATTTTGCTCTAGTTTTGACCTCGACTTCTTCTTGACCATTTCTCTTCTTCTTCGCACCGTGGAAGTTGGTGCCAGGAATCCCTACTCAGTTTTACAATGTCTGACACAAGCAAACACAAACTGTGAGTAACATGATGTTCAGTTGCCTTATTTATGTCCATTTAATTCCTCACATGATGTATGTAAAGTGTTATGATTGATACTCATTTATTCATCTGGGAAATTGGAATGACTGAAAATGGAAAATAAGGGGAGGGAATTGGTCTGATTATTGTTGTGGTTGTACAATTGTATTTTTAACTTATTTTCCTGCATCACTGTACTGTTTCCTTTTTTAAAAAATATATTTTAATGTGCATAAGAGATTTTAATCAAGTGACAAATTTACTACAGTACTCTTTACAAAGCGAATGCTAAATGTGTTTAATGTGTGTCTCTGTGCCACTGCAGCTTTTACATTAATCTGATGGCATTATATTCAGACTTTTGTCTTAAGACCAACATCATGCTTAAACTGTGCAACTATTTCAACTAGCCCTTAATATTAGCTAAATAATCAAAAGTAAAATGTCATCACTGGGCTAATTCTGTGGTTCCATGCGACTATATGCATATGAATAATCTTATATACCTTTCTGATATTGATGGACTTCATGCCGAATGGAAAAGCAGCGTAGAACTCAAAGAATCCACACAGTAGTTGCTCTGAAACAAGGACAGAAAAGTTACATTAGCATGAAAGGCTTGTTAACAGAAATGTTGTTATCAGTCAAACTGAGTTGCAGCCCTGCAGCCCCGACTCCACGCTCTTGTGCTCACCTAGTGTTTCGGTGTTGCTGCGGAGCTGGATTTTGCTGAAGTCGCTGACAAACGTGCAGTCGTTCCCCTCTATCACGCTCTTGTCCGTGGGACCTTGTGGGACGAGAGCGAGGATACAAGGTAAATGACTGCCTTTACACGCCAATGATGGCTATAAACAAGACACCGATGGATGGTGTCTTATTTATTGCGTTCATGGAGAGGAAAACAGAGAGGCACACAGCGCGGGGGCATGTACCCGGATCGTGTCCTTGCTTGGCTGGTTTACGTGTCCAGCACTTGTTACTGGTCTCCTTCACGACAAGGAGGCCGATGGTGGTTGGTTGGTGTGTGTGTGTGTGTGTGTGTGTGTGTTACACGACTGTTTAAATAGCTGCATGTGTGCTGTGTGCATGCGTGTGTCCGGAGGAGGCGGGGTCATCGACCTTCCCGGAGTGATGGGTCTTTTATTGTCCTGTAAGCACTCTGTGAGATAGAGTCTGTGCTAAACGGGGCTGAGGAGGTGGAGGTGGAGGTGGGGGAGGGGGAGGGGGAGGGGAGATTGCTTTTGGAAGGCAATTATCAGGCNTGGCTATAAACAAGACACCGATGGATGGTGTCTTATTTATTGCGTTCATGGAGAGGAAAACAGAGAGGCACACAGCGCGGGGGCATGTACCCGGATCGTGTCCTTGCTTGGCTGGTTTACGTGTCCAGCACTTGTTACTGGTCTCCTTCACGACAAGGAGGCCGATGGTGGTTGGTTGGTGTGTGTGTGTGTGTGTGTGTGTGTGTTACACGACTGTTTAAATAGCTGCATGTGTGCTGTGTGCATGCGTGTGTCCGGAGGAGGCGGGGTCATCGACCTTCCCGGAGTGATGGGTCTTTTATTGTCCTGTAAGCACTCTGTGAGATAGAGTCTGTGCTAAACGGGGCTGAGGAGGTGGAGGTGGAGGTGGAGGTGGGGGAGGGGGAGGGGGAGGGTAGATTGCTTTTGGAAGGCAATTATCAGGCAGCCAAGGTGACAGAGAGAGGGAGAGCGATGGAGGAGCTGCAGTGGACTCACAGCCAGACCGGTGTGTTGGTGGGTACATTATCACAGGAGGCTGGGTGCCATGTTCATAACAGATGCATACATGGTAATAAAAGGCCCTTAAGTCAACTACAGGAGAGGTACAGCCAAAATATAAAACACTGAAGCTGAAGAAAATGAAACAACTGCAGACGCCTTGAGGCTGCAGATGAAGGGCATGTTTGGTCAAACCCAGCACTGAAATGCTGCTGTTAACTACAGTTATACATTTTTTAAGTCATGGACAGTTGGTTCACAACCCACAAAGGTCGAAAGACAAATCTGAAAACGTATCTCTGCTGCACCAAATTATGTTTATTTTTTCATGTTTTACTTTAGTCTTTGCTTTTGTGAATAACTAGACAACTTTATATTTAAGAACAAGCAAAAATGACATTTTTGGGTTGAACTGGTCACAACTGGTCTGACCGGAGGTCGCAGGTTGCTTCATTTTAAGGCATCACAAATCTCTGACAACATCCTCTCTTGAAATCCTGATTGTAAATTAGTCTAAATAATTGTATAATAATAATTATAGTAATAAACTGAACATCCTTAAGTTTTGGACAGTTGGTCAGATCAACTAGACATCTGACAACTTTTTCACAATTCTGACATGTTACAGAAAAAGCAACTAATCAATTAACTGACAAAATAATCTGCAGATTAAATCAATCATGAAAATAATTGTTATTGTAGCTTTAAGTTATCTGATTAATCACATGCCTCTTTAATGTGAGAATGTGAAGCTTCGTTTTGTCTCATGTGATAATAAACACAACATTTGTGGGTTTGAATTTGTGTCAGACAAAGAACCTATTTGAAAATGTAATTTTGAGAAATTATGTGATCAAGATAATTATCATAAATTTAAGCAATAATGAAAGTAATAATTAATCGCAGCCTTGATACACTGTTACATTTTTAACTCTTATGTAAAAGCTATTTAAGTTCAAGTACTCTCTCACAATATATCTTATTTTAGATCATAATATTGATAAATACTGTGCTGTATTAAATTTTCCAGAAATAAACTGTTTATGCATACAATAACCACACCTGTGTGTACTGTATGTTCTTATCATACCCAGTGAATTAAATACCTGGCAAATCTAGATAATTCATATTGATGCAAAAATCATTACAAAATCCAAAATTGCCATATCGTAGTCATGCCAATTGATTTGTGCCATTTCTCAAAAAGCTGTAATGCACCCAGAGATATTAAAGGAACAAAGAAGATGATATTAACAGAAGAGCGAAATCTACAATGGTAGACAAAGCATCTTAATCTGACGGTATATTTAACATCATATCCCCAGGACCTAATTTCAGTTGTTCTGAGGTTATGGTGGAGGGGTGGGGTCAGTCACCATAGCAGGAATGGGGTTAGAAGAACGGGGGAAGAAGCCATGCATGTAAAGCTTTACGGCACTATGATCCTGTCACACCCGACCTCCAGCATGTGCATCTTTTAAGGATGAAGAAAAGCAATAAAAACTTCATCATGTACAAAAGGGTGAAACACAAGATATCTCCTGAGTGAAAGGTGCTGCCAGGTGTTACCTGCAAGGTCTCTGAGGTGGTCCAGTGTGGGGATTATGGGAGAGCTCCTCCTCTGCAGGAAGAACAGCACCATGACTGTGAGGGAGAAGTTGGTGATCCAGGCCCCGGGGATGCTGCTGGTGACCCCGTGAGCTCGGGCCCAGCAGCGCACAGTGAACACCAGGAAACGCACCCGCGGGTCCAGCTCTCCGTACAGGTAGAGCAGCTCCGTGCTTTTCATCGCCACCCTGTGGAGAACACACAGCATTACTTCTTCTACTACTGACAGCCACTGTGCTGCATGTTTTAATGGCTTTTAATATGTTACAGTCTTTTGATTTCACAAACCTGTGTAGTCAATAGAGTTTAAGCAAATTTAACTTTTATGTCTTTAATCTTTAATGTCTATTGAAGGCAGGTGGTGTAGCCTACTGTTTGCATGTTCTCCCTGTGTCTTCGTGGTTATTTCCTCCAGGTACTCTGGCTTGAATGTCACTTGATGGCCTGCAGGTTGCATTGAACACTGTCCCTACAGATCTGTGATTAAAACAGTATCTGCATAGGCTGAACTGAATGAGACACTGTATTATGTTGAATGTCAGTGGTCAGTGAAATTAAAACTACACCAAAACCACCACTAGAGAGCAGCCTTTGTCAGTGACTGACTCAGTCACAGTTGTAAGTTTTTCTCTTTCCTCTCACACACACACACTTCACAGGCAGGAAAGTGCTGCGCTTCAAAGATCTCACTGCGATATAAGAAAAGTCCCCCTCACATCTACCCACAGTGAGTGGTTCAACTCCATTTCCTTAGAAACTGCAGTGGTTTTCTGTACGTTAGCAGGTGTGTACGTTATTTGTGCTGCCAGCAGCAGAGACCACAATTTCTTTATGGTTGGAAGAGAAGAAGTGAAACGCAAACAAGCCACCACTTTAGCCCCACTTTTCAGTTTCTCTGTGGCAGGCATGCAACCAATGCATGACTTCCTGCCTGAGTTTGGTTTCTTTTTGGGGGTTTTGCCTGACAGCGAGGTCAAAACAATCAACAATTTAAAAAGTAGTTTCTGTGAAGCAAGAGACCTATGACCAACTCTAACTGACATTTCGAAACATGACTGTTCCACTGCATGAAACTGATCCATACGTTACTAAAACCCTGCAACACAAGAGTCTGGTTAAAGAATCTTTCTACCTGTTGTTGGTTGTGAGGTCACACTGAAAGCCAGAGGGCTGGTGGGCAAAACGGACCAGGGGGCATCGTGCATTGAGAATCTTCTGCACGCCAGCGCATCCCGGCCCAAACTGGTCCACACACTCCCCGATGACAGACAGGATGCTCTGGGTGACAGCACGCTCTGAGTTGGCCCTCTTCATCTGGTACTCCAGACAAAGACCTGACTTTGGCTAAAAACAGAGTTTGGAGACGTTTAATGACCCTAACACAATTTCCTCTTGTTACCTAAGGCAGTATGTTACTTTACATCAATACACAATTCTCAGTGCACTGTTTATGTACTATATTGTGCCCTTAGTAGCTTCTATAGCACCAACACAGGCTAACTATGTCGGAAAAGTCCAAAAGTACAATGTTAAAAAGTTGGACCCAGTGTATGTTTGAAATACTACTTGAAATATTATTTATCAAAATTGTTGCACATTAATTGATAGAATGGTAAATGTGTCCTATTCACTCACACACACACACACACACACTCATTATACTCATTATAATCACAATCCCTGACAATCTCCTGCACTTTATTCAGGCTACTAAATTATTATTGGAGTGACACTTTACTTTAACCCCTCAACCCCTTAGCATTTATAAGAAGTATACAAACATTTACTAAATGCAATGTAATTGTATGTATCAACATTTTTTAACGTTTATTTAATGTACAGTATTAGTCAACAATTATGCCTCATACTATGAAGATATTGTATATAATTCATATATTTAATTTATATTATTACAGCTTGTTTTGCTTTATTGTCAGCAGCTTCCACTTATACTTACAATTGTATATTAATAACCACCTTTATCTGCTTAAAACTACATTATAGTGTGTTAAAACCATTTATAAAACAAAAATACAAATATATAAATTTATAAACAACGCTCACAAATGCTGATGATGCTGATGATGTAGAAAAACTCAGCCCTTTTATCACGTTCTCCTACCACATCACTTTAAAGGTTGCAACTGATTCAGAACTTCGCTTTTCACCTGAAAAAAAGAAGCGACACCACATCGTGCTGGTTCTGGCGTCATTACACTGGCTCACTGGTTCTTTAGATTTGGAGGTCTGTTTATTGGTTTACAAAGATTTAAGTGACTGAGACCCAGTCTATTTAACCAAACTTTTAAAAACACATATTCCTGTACAACTTCTGGATCCTTAAATATCCAGCTGTTCTTCAAAATCATACTTGAACTGTGGAACAGCTTCCAAGCATCAAACAGGTAATTACATTGGCGTCCTTTAAAAAATCATCTTATAACTTATATTTCCAAGTTAGCTTTTAATTAATGCATTTGTATTTCTCTCGATTCTTGGCTTATTCCTGTATTTTATTAGCATATTAATCTTTATGTGTTTAAGTGACAGTCTTTGAATTACCCCCACTGTATGAAGTGTGCTATACAACTTTATGAAGATGATGCTTGAGTGTTTTCGAAGTAAACGCTTCAAAGAATTTCAAAGAAATGATTGATGCAAAGCAGTCATGTATGTCTGTATACTGTTGTAACTCTGCACAGCTGCACCCTAATGAACTGAAATGGTGGGAAATGACTGTAGTCAGAGCAAATGGCAGCTTTTTTTGTTGTTGCAAGTGGAAAGAGGTAATCTGTTTTGTCCAACTCAGTGCGGTCCAAAACAATAGAAAACCAAAAAGCCTACATATTTTTGTTGCTGCTTTGCAACATTTTATGTGCAGTAACTGTCTGACCAATTGTGAATTGAACTGAATTTAAATTGAATTTAAATATTTTGTCTGGCTTTACAAATGTAATGCTCTGTTGTCTACAGGTGATGCATACTAATGGACTACCCAAACCCCTGTTATTACCATCTTTACATTCCTCCCACTGATGCCATCCAGGTCCAGAAACATGTCCAGGTCACAGCCCAGCTTCCCGAAGCCGTTCACCGATGAGCCAAATGGCTTAATGTTGCATTCTGGGAAATAAGCAGCAGCAATGTCCTTGAGCAGGGAGCAGACAAGAAAACGCAGCCTGCTGTTCTCCTCTGTGAGCTGATAGGCTTCTGTCAGGGAGGTTATCTGCTGGTCGATCTGACAGGAAATAAGGAGACAGGCCAATCCTTGAGGCATGTAGCTCATCTTTTATACTTTAAGGGATCTATTTAAATGGATTCACACATATGCAGTGCATTCAGAAAGTATCCAGACCCCTTCACCTTTTTCATATTTTGTTATGTTTCAGCCTTAAGATAAAATTGCTAAAATTCATTTTTCCCTCATCAATCTACACTCAATAACAGATAATGACAAAGGAAATTTTTACAAACTTATTTAAGAGGAAAAACTGAAATATCACATTGACATAAGTATTCAGACCCTTAACTATGACACCTGAAATTTACCTCAGGCTCCCCTCTTTTCTCTTGATCATCTTCGAGATGTTTCTAAATCTCATAGATGACAATGCATATCAGAAGCCGTGAGGATGAAGGAACTGCCTGCACAGCTCAGGGACAGGATTGTGTCAAGGCTCAGATCTGGGGGAGGATACAAAAACATTCTGCTGCATTGAAGGTTCCTGAGAGCACAGTGTGGCCTTGGTAAGAGATGTGACCAAGAACCTGATGGTCACTCTGGCTGAGATCCAGAGATCCTGTGAGGGATGGGGGAAACTTCCAGAAGGACAAGCATCACTGCAGCACTCCACTGATCTGGGTTTTATGGCAGACCGAAACCTCTCCTCAGTGAAAGACACATGAAAACTGCTTGGAGTTTGCAAATACTTTCCTACTGTGAGAAACAAGATTTTCGGTCTGATGAAAGAAGCAGGGAGACTGGTCAGGGATGGGATGAGGGAAAGCTAAACTGAGTACAGAGATGACGACCTGGTCCAGAGCGCTCAGAACCTCAGACTGGGCTGAAGGTTCACCTTCCAACAGGAAAATGACCCTGAGCATAGAGCCAGGACAATGCAAAATACAACTGTCTATGGACGGTCCACGTCCAACTGGACAGAGCCTGAGAGGATCTGTAAAGAAGAATGGCAGAAAATCCCCAAATACAGGTCTGCATAGCTTGATGCGTCTTACCCAAGAAGACTTGAGGCTGTAATCTCTGCCAAAGGTGCTTCAACTGAGTACTGACTTAAAAGTCTGAATTCTTATGTCTGTCTGACGTTTCAGTTTTTCCTTTTTAATTAACTAAAATTTCAGTTTCTGCTTCGTCATTATGGGGCATTGAATGTGGATTGATGAGGGATTGATGACATGAAACCGTTTTAACCTTCAGGCTGCAACATAGCAAAATGTGAAAAAAGTGAAGGGGTCTGAATACTTTCTGGATTGTTTTTTTCTTTCAAGTTAAATCTAAGTCACTGGAATAATCCTCAAATCTAAAGTGAAATCCTGAATGTTTTACTTTACTTACACTCTCCTCTCTGGACAGTCTCTGTATGAGCTCATTGATGGGAATGGTGGTTTGTGGTTGGCACTGGTGGCCGGGCTGCTGGTTTGGTGACACCACAGAGCCAACGTTTCTCAGTGATAGCAGTCTCGACTTAAAAGGCACCATGGACTCATGGCTGACACTGGGGATGGCGGCCTCTTCAAGCAGAGAGGCAACACTTTCCTGGTTGGCAAACTCCACCACAGCATACATGCCCTGGAGAATAACACCAGCATTGTATCACAATTTCATCATGCAACTGAATCATAGCATGAAAGTGAAGTTTGTCATATGTGCACCATAAATATGTTTTTTTACTTACATAGCTTTCATAAAAGAAGTGCTTCTTGATATCTCCATGTCTTGATAAATGCTTGAGGAACTTTTTCTCATTGGTTCTGGAGTTGCAGCTGATGAGGACAGATCTCTCTGCTTGTTCTTGTCTCTCCGCCTGGACAACATATAATGACTTGCGTCCATCCTTTTCCTTTTCATCTGACAACAGGGAACAAAATATTCAACACCTGCATGAATAACGTTTACGTCGTATACTGTTGTTGTCAGACAGACTTTGGATGTTGAAGACTTTGCACTACGAGTTACGTGTATGATCTTCATTAGCCCCCGAATGCAACAGCATCCACAAGGCAGCATCTGCTAAAGTCAAATCTTAATTCAAATGACAGAAAAAAATCACTATAGACTGAACTGAAATGACTCCCTGGTTGACAAACACAATGCCAACATTTACCGTGACCCTAATCATTTCTAAAGCTATTAATTTTCTAGCAAATAAGTTACACGACGTGAGACAAGGCTATCAAAAACATAAAAGATTTTTCAATGAAGTCTGGAATGACGATTACTGTACAGCAGGCAGCGGTAATGTATCAGGGCTAGCATGTAGGCTAACTTGGCTTGACAGTTTTATATACTAACCACTTTCGTCTTTCCGAGTCGCCTCACTTTGCGCTGCGACCACGTTTGTTCCAATACTTCTGTGAAGAAATGTGTCGACCTTCTGTAAGCACTTCACCAGCCTGCCCCGTCCCCTCATATGTAACCTGCACACCGCTATGGAGGACGCCATTGCTATTAGGAAGAAACTAAAGGGCGCGTGCGCGTTGCTCCGTCTACGGCAAGCGACAGCTACCAGTTCGAACCAACTGCTGCACGTACTGAAAAACGTATCATTGTGGCACTTAAGATAAAAAATTATAAATAAATGAGCATGGATGGTTGGTTATACTTTTTCTGTGTAATTTGTAGCTATTATAGACTAACAGCCGTAAGTGTAACCAACCTAATTTCCTCTTTTGACTTATTCTATGTCTAATTACCTTAAATGTCTCTATGTTACATTTTTACTGACTTCTACCAAGTGTTGTCACTGCAAAAACCTTCAAAACACATTTTTTCCCGTAGGAAAATACCCAACGATTCTGCAGAAGTCCATGCCCCGTGTTTCAGCACAAAAGCCACATGAAATTTGTTTTCCATCTTACAAAACAGAAGAAAGGGAAAACGAAACCTACGCGGAGTAAAGTGTTGGCACCTGACATTAAAGACTAAAACCTCCACCTACGCTCTGATTGACTGCACTTCCTGTTTACTTCCTTCTAAACACCGTCCCGACCTCGTTTTCTCAGTCAGTCGCTGTTGGACGCCGAAGGTACACAATGGAGAGACGCGCATAAGCCTCTGACGCAAAGATAATGGCAAGCACCGTGTGTTATTTCTTTACTACATCTCATTAGACGTAATCAGAAATAAGTTGTATTATTATTTGCTGATATCAAAATATAGCAGCTAAATATTTTTCGAGATTGGTTGTGATGTCTGTACAATATCCCGAGCTCTTACTATCATTGTTGTTTTCAATATGAAGGTATTCTGAATTTGCACTTTTAGATTCTGACAAAGAAATCTGACTCAGTGGCTTATTTGTTCAATTTTAACATGGGGTTTGGTGTGGTGGGAAATCCCTCTGTCTAAAAGAAATTATTTGCAGGTGTGTGTGTGATTTGCATGAAGCAATTAGTGACCTAGATTCCTACTCATAGACCACCAAACAGCGTTAATGAGCTTTTTTAATTATTTTTTATTAGACTAGGAGCATAGTGGGTGTTTTATAGATGTAAAATAAGGTCCAAGCTTTCCTGAGGGGCTTCCCAGCTTTTCTGTGAAACTCCCTTCATCTGCTAGGAAAAACATAAATCTAAGCCCCTCCCAGCTGCATTTCCAGCCAGCTGAACCGAAGCTTCACCGCTTCAGTGTAGTGTCACTCTGCATCCTGCGCTCCAGATGAAGTTCTGAAAGTCATCAACTGACTGATGACTGATGGGATTTCTTGCAAACTGAACTAAACTGAAAAATGTCCATAAACTGAGCTCCATATGTTTTGTTTTAGATTGAGCAGGAAAACCCAAACACCAAGATGGATTACAAATATGACAATGGAATAGAACTGCTGTTGGCTCACATGAACATAGAGGACATCATCAACGCTGCAGAGACTCTGTATCAGCTTGAGAAGGAGGAGGCAGAAGAGGGAGGCTTGTCGTTCGAAGAAGAAGGTCTCTCCCAGGAGGAGATGGATGAGAACGAGGAGGCAGGGGACTTGGTGTGCTCAGGGACTGAGCAGAAGGACTACTCTGACGGGGTTGGTGGGGTTCGGTACGGGACGGTGACAGACCTCCTGTCCTTTGTCAACCTGCTCTCTAACATGCAGGCAGCAGCCCTGCAGCACCTGCCTCACGAGATAGGAGTCCTGCTGAATAAAGTAAGAATCAGTTTTTCTTTTTGTCATTTAACTGTGTAACTTTTGTCCTTTTTATTCATTTATTAATTTATTTATTTATTATAAACTGACCTTTCATTGCAGAAGGACATGGCTGTAAAAAAAGGCCGCTACCAGATCAACATGGACGTGCTCCTGTTTCCATGGAAATTGACCTACAAGAATTATGGCACTGGCCTCGTGCCCAAGGGCTCATTTGGGAAAGTCCACTTGGCTCAGGACACGGCCACCAGGAAGAGAATGGCTTGCAAACTGGTGAGTGCTGCTGAGCAATGACTGGAATCCGTGCTGTGTCAACTTCTCGAAACTATTGCTATAGCTGCCAAATGTTTTACCTGCCAAGTGCTAGGTGTTCATAGAGCACCTATTGTGTTCATCTAGATGACAACGTGACATCTGGTATGTTTTTGATGTAAAAGAGGAAGAGTGCTCTTAAAAGAAGAACCATTTTTTGTAAGAAATGCCCCAAGATGAATGCAAGAATGGAAATTTAACAGTAACCCCTTTTAAATTTTGAAAGTTAAATTTAGGTAAAAATGTGTTTATTTTTTCCCAACATGGAAAATATTTGCACATGAGGAAGGAGTAGTTTCCTATCTGGTCTGGTGCAATCATCAGAATGCTATGTTGAAACAGTACATTGTACACACTGTTACCAGTGCACTTGAGGAGGCTATACTTTATAGTATGTTCTTGGTATGTGAGTTACAGTAGATTTCCTGCATATCAGCAGACAGCTTCAGATAACAGCATCATCAGTTAATCTTCACCAGAAAATCCATTCAGCGTGTGTAATAAAAAAAATGTTTTTATTAGTTTTGAGAAATAGGCTTATTTGCTTTCTTGTCAAGAGTTTGATGAGTTAGATCCTAACCTGGCTCTGTCCCAAAAATAAAGCTTATCAGCTTCTCCTTAAAACCACAAATTGTTGTTTATACATTTTGCTTGTGTATGGAAAAAACAGACCAGATATAAAATGGTAATAAGTGATGTTTAGAGGTTGCTAACTGTTTCACCCTGCTCTCAGTTTTTATGCTGAGCTAACCAGGTCTCAGCTCTAGTTCCAACCATGGTGACAATTTGTAATGATGAATTTATTTACATCTCATCATCGCCCTCACAGATTCCCATGGAAAACTTTAAAGCAGCCGACGTGGAGTTCCAGGCCCGGTTCCAACACGAGAACATTGCTGAGCTCTACGGCGCTCTGTTCTGGGACCAGAGCGTCCACCTGTTCATGGAGGCCGGAGAGGGCGGCTCAGTCCTGGAGAAGGTGGAAAGCTGTGGCCCCATGAGGGAGTTCGAGATTATCTGGGTGACCAAGCAAGTGTTGCGGGGCCTGGAGTACCTGCACTCTCACAACGTCATCCACCACGACATCAAACGTAAGAGCAAAAGAAAAAAAAGTTTCACTGTTCACTTGGGTATGTTTGACAAATGTGCTGTACTGTACTAAGCTAGTGTAGATGGTTCAGGTAATTAAGCAATCAAAGATTTTTTTCCTCTTCACATGAAAGTCAAAACCACAGACGGATGCCGTTCTTATGAATAATTCTAGGTACCAAGCAGGATAAAGGTGAATCACTATAGACAGCCACAAACCAAGAAGACCACAGAAATCTCACTTGACAATTGTACACACTCTGACTAGTAATATGAACGTTTCCTGTAGGTTTGACTAATGCATTTTTAGGAAATGTGTAAAGACTGCAGGCAGTAGGTGGAGCTCTGCCGAGGTTCGATATGAGGGAGTTGAACCACAACGGCACTGCTGCGATCAAAGCATTCTCCACAGCTAGCCGTCACCCTCATGTCCTGAAGGCTGTTTGCTGTCTGGAAATTCCAGCCTGCTTCTCATGCTGTCTCAGGGTTAAATGTAGGGTCCAGAGTGGCAAGTGACTAACGACAATGGCCGGCCTGACCCTCTGACATGTTGCTACGGTTGTTACTATTTCCTGCCTGCGATGAAAATATGTAATTAGGCCTCAGTGAGGGTTTTAAGCACACGCATGAGCCTCTTTATGAAAGGCTTGCCCTCAAATTATCTGTCAAATTCCTCCTCCTTTGCTAAAAGACTGAGACTTACTTGACCTTTTCTTGGGAGGCTTCAGGGTCCTTTTCTCAGCTGAAATCAAACACAGTGCAAGCCACTTAAGTCAGTTTTGAGGAGTCACTAATTAATGCTTATTACCTCAAATAACAGCCTGCATAGCAAAGCATCAACACTGAAAACAGACGGTTCCTGCAAATCATAAATTACCTTTTTTTATTTTTTTTTCAGCCAGCAACATTGTCCTGATGTCAGACAAAGCAGTGCTGGTGGACTTCGGCCTGACGGTGCAGATGACAGAGGATATTTACATTCCTAGAGACCTGAGAGGGACAGAGGTGAGAAAATAAACATGAAGTCAGATGCAGTTTTACAGGCTGCAGGTGTACACCTGTAATTAAGGGATAGATTGCTTTCTCCAATCAATGCTTGTTTGTCTGTCTCTGAACTGTGTGTGCGTGTTTACTAGAAAAGGCAGCAGTCTCCTTGACTCATGACGCAGGGATTTTGACAAATTAGTCTGAAGACTTGTCAGCACTTGTCTCTGTCTTCTCCCAAATGATTATAGAAATTCAATGATTGGCAACAGAGCAGTGACTGCACTCATTGACCTCACTGATGCTAATAATAGTCTGCTTATGCTTGGAGTTCTCAGTGCATATGTTTTAATCAGTACTTGGGAAAGTTTGGGCTAATCCAAGATTTCTCACGAGCCTTTTCTCCCATCATGTTTTCCTAGCTTTCCCATGTTTTGACCTGTTTGTGTGTCAGTCCATTTAATTCTTTGTACATGCACCCTGGGCCTCTCATGGCCTGGCTTGTGGAAAGTCCCAGGGCAGACACCCAGCTGTAATAAGAAGACAGACAGAACTAGTCCACCAGGCTGCTCAGGCTTACATTAATGTGAGAGAGCAGGCTGGAATTTCCAGGAGAGAGAGAGAGAGAGAGAGAGAGAGAGATTCTGGTGGTGTGTTTACTTTTCACACTCCAAAGGCCAGTGCACTTTCTGCACTGTCGTACCTTGACACACAAAACACGAGTGTAAAGGTCAGTTTGTTTGTTGCAACAAAAAAAAACTTTTTTTTGCAAGAGGTTGTTTCGTATTTGTTGCATCACACATCCATTGTAACAAATTCATGTCATGTTTTCCCTCTTACATCTAGATGTATATGAGTCCAGAGCTGGTTCTGTGTCGAGGACATAACACCAAGACAGACATCTACAGCCTGGGCACCACCATCATACACATGCAGACTGGAAGCCCTCCCTGGGTCCGCAGATACC